AAAGGAAAGAAATGAAAAAGAAAATGAAAGGAAAAAAAAGAAAGAAAGAGAAAGAAAGAAAGTAGATGTCATACCTGTTTTAGTAGAGAAGTTCCAGCCATCCCAAAATTAATTACTTTGATCAAAGAAAAGACTTAACTAGCTTTTTTTCTTGTAACTGAAAGAAATGAAAATTTAATTTTGGGATTTGAAACAATTAGAATTGTTTATGATTATAAAAATATTATGTACTATTGAATTTTAGGCAAATGGTTTCTGTTTGTAACTGTATCAAAGAAAAGTAGAAAGTTACTTTTCTTCTTTTCTTTCTTTTATACCTTGCACTTTCCTTTCTCCTACTGTTTCCCCTTTTAATTTTTAATTATTTTTTATTTTATTTTATCTTTTGTAGAATTTCCGTTTCATAAACACACATATAAACAGAAACATACATACATACTGTGTGTGTGTGTGTTTATACAGTATATATTACAACCTAGCAATTCGAAAGCACGTAAAAAATGCAAGTAGAAAAATAGGGACCACCTTTGGTGGGAAGGTAACAGCGTTCCGTGCGCCTTTGGCATTTAATCATGCTGGCTACATGACCATGGAGACGTCTTTGGACTGCGCTGGCTCTTCAGCTTTGAAACAAAGATGAAACTAGTACATATGTACAAGAGGAACCTTTACCTTTAATAAAATGGACTCCCATTGATTTCAGAGGGTTTTCTCTTTCTTTTTCCATAATTACTGCATTTCAAACTATAGAGGGATGGATTTTTTTAAAGTTGTGTATCTTTCATTTATATTAGTTGCTTTAGCTTTTTTTTTCTAAAATAAAGTAAGCTAACAATGTAAAATTTAAGCAGGTAATAATTTAGTAATGATGTGTATTATTCATAGCACCCAAAAAAATCTATTCCAAGTTGTTTAATTTATATTAGAGTAGCATACTCTACTCGAGTAGCAATATATTTCATTGTAAATCTGCATTTCTTGGGTATAAAAGGACTGTGATTCTATAGCAATAAGAGCAGTCACTGCGGTAGCCACAGAAGATATAGGAGTGGTTTTAATTTGCCACCAATCAAAATTCAATTATGTCAGCCTATGTCTACATCTTACTATAATCTAATGTATAAAAATTTAATTCTGAAAATAGAATAGCCTTTATTTACTATGCTTCTGTTCTAGGTTTTAACAAAGGCTGTGCAATTGCTGCTCAAAAGGTAGCAATCCCAAAGGGTCGGTTTGGGCCATTGTATCCTGCTAAGCTATTCCAAGTCAGAGTTCCAGACAAAATTGTTTTTTTTTCCTCACCCCAAAATTTTAAAGGAACAGCCAGTGAGCCAGAAATAATCATAATTAAATAAATCTTTAAAAAATCATTTGTGTTTGGGAGTGTATACACAGGTAGTTCTCAATTTACAACCAATCATTAGCGACATTTGAAATTATGACAGACCTATCTTGGGGTTACTTACAATCCAGATTCAAAGTTCTATCAGTTGCCCCCCCCCGCACCACCACCACCCACAGTCACATAAGCAAATTTTGGGAGCTTGGCAAACTAAGGTTGTGTTTACAGCCATTTACAGGGTCCCACTGTCATGTGACCACATTTTATGATCGCTTGCCAAAAACTTACATTAACTTTTGGTACATAGCGGCATTGTGTTTGCTTAATGAGCACTGCAAAAAACGTTGTAAAATTGTTTCATGACTGTCATGACTTACAATCGGGATGGGCAGGCTCCATTAAAATAATAAGTCAGGGATGAAATCTAAAATTTGTTACTACCGGTTCTGTGGGCGTGGCTTGGTGGTGGTGGGTAATGTGACTGGGTGGGCGTGGCCAACTTTTTTTTTTTTACTTTTAAAAGCATTTTTTCTACAACCTTAAGAAGTTCAGAAAAAAATGCTTTTAGAAGCCTCTGACAATCGGGCAAGTCAGCTGGGATCGCCAGAGGCTTTTCAAGGCATTTTTTTTTCCTACAACCTCTTCGGCTGAAGAGGTTGCAGAAAAAAATGCTTTGAAAAGCCTCTGACGACCCCAGCTAAGCCGCGCAATCATCAGAGGCTGTTTTTTTTACTTTTAAAAGCATTTTTTCGGTCGAAGAGGTTGTAGAAAAAATGCTTTTAAAAGTAAAAAAAAAAGCCTCTGATGATCGCGCGGCTCAGCTGGGGGTTGCACAGGGATTTTTGCTACCGGTTCTCCGAACCACCTGGCACCATTGCTACTGGATCGAGCGATCCGGTCCAAACCGGGAGCATTTAACTCCTGTAATAAGTCAAAGACAATATATATACACATATATACTTATAATATACATCATAGTTATAATGGAAATTAAAATGGCAGGCCCTTGATGATATATCATAGTACGGGGGCCTAAATATGTAGATTTCAATTGCTCATATTTTAGAGTAGGTAAGATAGAAGTAAATTGCATATAGTGAGGATAGAGTATGCAATGCGGTAAGGCAGTATTTTGCAGCTTCACTCATTTTAAATTGTGTAACTTCCACTCCCTGAATTCCTCTGCCAATATGGTAGGAATTCTGGGAGTTCAAGTCCACACATCTTAAAGTCACTGTGACAGAGAAAGACTGACATAATTCATGTGGTGGTGAAGGTGATGGGAAGGTGGTCTCACTTGCTTGATAAAGGAATAAATATGAATGATGAGCTGGACACAGGCAGCCAGTGAACTAAGCAACAAAAGATCATTCTAGTGCTTTGCAAAGCATGACTTATTGTTACAACTGTGTCTGAAGCTAAATTACTATACATCAAATACACGAAAAATGCAAAGAGCCACAGCAGCCTTTATTTTCATAAGAATGAAAAAATATTGCAGAATTGAAATCAATTTTTTTTAAATCTCCACATTTCAACATATTTTACATTCATGTATAGTCTGTCCACAGTGACATGTATAAAAGAATATAAATATTAATTCTAAGTAATTTGTGGTTTTACCTCCCAAGCTGTCAGAGCATTTTCATAGGGCTCTATTTCTACTCTTAAAGAGATCTCACCTGTCCCCTTCCAACAGCCACCTGGCACTCCCCTCACCTGGCCTTTGGGGTAGAACTAAAACAAATTGATTCTTCACCCTCCTTTGTTCTTTCTTCTGTGTTTATTTTTAACTAATTTCTTGGTGACAAGAAAAAAGTGAAAAAGAACAACTCCTAGTAACTAGACACTATGAACAAACTCAAGTTGGAGGGTTGGGAACTTCTGGTACTTCTGTTTTAGAAGGGAAGGAAAAATCGCAGGAGATGGGAAGCAAGACAGTCAGGATTTCCCACCATGGGGCTCCAGAGGAAACATAACAGAACTATATTCAGTGTGGGTTTTTTCTGCATCCTCAGTTTATCAATTAATTTCTGGAATTAATTGTCTCAGTATAAGAAGAGTGCTGGAAGTGAAGGGCATCATAGGAACCCACAAGAACAATGCCAATACCCCAAATCAATGCTGATTTCCTTTAAAGCAGCATTTTAAAGAGTTAAAAACATAAGCTTTTGGTGAAATAACAGCATAGAAATTTACTGTATACCTCCCTTTGACTCTAAACCTCCTTTGAAGTTTACTGTTTTTTGATATAATCATATTCTTATGGGGTAGAAAAGGGGCTGCAAATAAGAAATAAACAAATCTGAAAGATTAGCAAAGCAACATAGAATGGTAGTGTCAGAGTGGTAAGCATTTCCCAAATCTTTTATATAATTATTCTCCTTTCAGAATTTTTCCAGATTCAGAGCATAGACCGTCTGGACATACATAGGTTGACTAGCTTGTCTATGGAAGCTTTTTGCAAATTGATGTTCTCCAGATAGATTGGGTGGAGTTCCTGTTTCTCATGCTGCTTCCAGTGATGTAAACTTTCATGAAAGACATTTTATGAAACTAGGTTCCATGATCTATATTCTGTAATATTCATGCCTTCTTGAAAAGGACAGCTCTTTCAAAGGAAAGTTAAAAACACTATTGAACTAATATGATATTTATTTTTACAAGATGTCAAGTGAAGATCAATGTAGAGAATTCTCTCTATATTTACATGTTTTAGACATTTTTTTCTTTCTCTTTGTTAGAAAAATCAAGATATTTCACAGAAAGCAGGATGGACCTTTTTGTTTTACAATATTGCAAAAACTAGAAGCAGGAATAAAACACCTACTGATATTTGCAATTGAGAGTTCACAGTAAAAACATAGATGAGTTTTATCATGGCTTTTTATGTCTTCATCTGTCCATTCACATTGAATGAATAGTCTGTTCGTCTGAAAATAAATATAAATGTGATTAAAGCTGTTTTCTTATAGTCATCGATGGAGATCAATCTTTACTAATTCTTAGAGAAATGGAAATGATTTCTTTTCATAATATCAAAACAAAAAAAGCTTTATATGTTAAATAAAATATTGCTGTTCATTTCTTTCTTTGTTTATTTATGAGAATTATAGGTTGCCCCAATTTGTTGCAATTCTGATCAATTTACAAAATACAATAAAAAAAAACATGGTAGAAACACGGACTATATTATCAAAAAAGAAAGTCTAAGGGGGAAAAAATAATTACACATCCAGACCAGAACTTCACATGGGGGTTCCATCACCCACTCTGATCCAGGGTCCAGGGAGAACCAAGTGGCAAGGGCTTGTTTAAATAGGGACAATTTTGCTTAATATAGATGAAAAATGATGGTTTTTTCCGAAATCTCCTTCAACAAATTGTTGTTAAGTATGCAATAGTTTGTATTTCTACCTAATCATTCTCCCATAATAACATTCCACTGTTTGGGGGAACTAATTTTTCAAATTATTTTTCAGCATTGCAAAAGTTGCTTTCTCTTTTTTCTTAACAATACATGTAGTCAATATAATATTACATGATCCTATAAGAGTATTATCAGAAAGGAATGTTCCTGGTTAAAATATTTATTTATTATAGAACTGAGAGTTGCTATTTTGCTGTACTAAAATGTGCCTTTTTGTCCCCTTTTCAGCTTCAGAGATGGAAGAACTTATCTAAGAAGGACCTAATTTACCATATCAGTCAACTTTAATTCTCTTAAAGACTCTGGCTTTGTTGCCACTTCCTTATCAGGATGGCCGAAAAGATTCCAGATATGAACAAAAAGACATCCAGGTCTACACAGTCTCTTCCACCAGAACCAGTGGACATAATCAGAAGCAAAGCATGTTCTAGGAGAGTGAAAATCAATGTAGGTGGACTCAATCATGAAGTTCTATGGAGGACTTTAGATAGGCTTCCACGGACACGTTTAGGGAAGCTCAGAGACTGCAATACTAATGACTCTTTACTAGAAGTATGTGATGACTATAATCTTAATGAAAATGAATATTTCTTTGATAGACACCCAGGTGCTTTCACCTCTATCTTGAATTTCTACAGGACAGGAAAGTTACATATGATGGAGGAAATGTGTGCCCTCTCTTTTGGCCAAGAATTAGATTATTGGGGGATTGATGAAATATATTTAGAGTCTTGTTGCCAAGCAAGGTATCATCAGAAGAAAGAGCAAATGAATGAAGAATTAAGGAGAGAGGCAGAAACAATGAGAGAAAGAGAAGGTGAAGAATTTGATAATGCTTGCTGCGCAGACAAAAGGAAAAAACTGTGGGACTTGTTGGAAAAGCCCAATTCATCAGTGGCTGCAAAGGTAGGAACAGATACTTTAGAATTTGTTTATGTTGCCTATATCAATTAAAAGCCAATCCATATTATTCATTGAATATATTATAATAAGAATTACATCCCATGAAAAGGTGTTTGTTAATTTGGGGTGGGGGAAAATATATTTTATTTCAAGACATCATGTGGGCATCATGTGTGCTGTTAATCAGACTTTTGAAGTTTGTCACATCAGATTTTTTTTCTATATATTTTTCATATATATTTGGGGTATATGTGACACTATTTAGAATTTATGGGATGTTTCCTTCAGTATAGTAGGAGCAGTTATGATCAGCAAGGTAATAAGTCAGAATGTTCATTACATCAAAGACATCTTGGTATATTAAGTCAGAAATATTTACTTTTATAATGTACAATTTTGTTCATAAGTACATTCTTTTGAATTCAACAAAACTTTCAAGATAATTTGATTAGCATAATTTGGCTTTCATGAATCCTTGTACAAACAAAGTATTGAAAGTATAACAGTATAGTATTATGATCATCCAGAATTGCTAAGTGTCCCACTTATTGTTAATATTGAAGACTAATATTGATAAAAGTTGCCAGATTGCCCTTGTTTGCAAGAACAGTGAAACTCACCAGAAATGGAAATGAAAGCAATAGCTTCCTTTTGAATCAAAATCTTAACCTTGGAGCCTCATTTCCCTAGTAAACCAAGGAACTGGAAATTAGTTTCACCATTCCAGTACAGAGTCTGGTTTGCCTGGGAAGAGACAATCAGGATTCCAGTTTGGAATGTTATGAAAAGCTTTTGCTTTCTCGATGGTTTCTGCTTAGTTTTATTCTTTCCATGAGTGGGAAGAGTTAAGTGACGGGTTGATTGGGCTTTTTATACAATTTTCAGCATTCTGGATTATTGTTACTTCAAATATTATTAAGCATTAAATATATAACATATTTCATTGTATCTTATTAATACAAAATGCGTCCCCACTTAGATCAGTTGTTCATAATACACTGGCTGTGTTTGTTATAGCTTTGTAACATTGGTTAGTGTTTCCTTTGATTGAACCCTGATGATGATAGGCTGTTGAGTCTGACAAACCTTTTTAAAAGTAAATATTCATTCTGCACATTTTTCTACCACATGCTTAGGCTGATGTTAAAAGATCTGTTCCCAAACTGGCAAGCTAGTAGATCCTTTGCTTTTGTCTCTGGGAAAGACATAAATACATTGTTGTTGTTTGGTGCGAAAATGGATAGTGTTGAAATCTTTTTAAACAGGCAAGTTTTGAACATTTTATCCTGTGTGAAATGCAACAAAATGTGCCTTTTGTTTTGTAAATAGAAAGAACCGTATGTCCATTATGACTTGTGGGCATTACAAATACAGGGTCACATTACAAGTTGTAATGAGAAAATGTAAAGAAGTCTTCTTTAGCTGCTAAACAAATAAAAAAGAACCAAACTACAGCACCCAAACCTCTGGATAGCAGGTTTCTTTTTGTGTCTTTTAATTGTATTGTTCCCTACCCATCCATGCACAAATTTAAGGTATACTGGCTTAATTTCCAAGGAGGATTTTTGCAAGAGCCACCTATAAATCTTCCACATTGACCTGAGAACTCTGACAAGCATTTAGGAGTTTACCAGTGGATGAGGAATCAAGAAATGCCAGGGGTATCTGCAAGATGTGATCAAAAAAGGCAATCATACACTTGTACGGTTGAAACTCCATCTGTTTCTTAGGTGTGATGTATGTACAACAAATAGACAAACAAACATGCAACATTTCTATCACATCATTGTAGACACTGTCTTGAATATTTTGACAAATTTTATTGTGAGAAAATTTGGAGATGTATGGCTAGCCTAGCAGGCTACCCTAGATTCTTAGGCCCATTCAGAAATAGGTTACAATCCTAAAGAGAATAAAGGCAGGGTATGTGTGTGTGTATTAGTATGTATGTTTATAGCAGTTAAGGCACCAGGGTAGAAATCTGGGGACCATGAGTGTTCCTTCTTAGGCACAAAGCCAATTGGCTGATATTGGACCAGTTACTCTCTCTCAACCCCAGGAGGGAAGCAATGGCAAAGCACTTCTGAAAATATTACCAAGAAAACTTCAGGGACTTGTCCACGCAGTCACCAGGAGATGAAAGTTGATTTGAAGATGCACACAGACAAGGCCAGAGATTCCTGTCTGGTTCTTCCCTCTTTTGCCACTTAGGATCAATTCAGCTTGCTGTGGATTTTTTCTCTAAGAGCACTTTAAGTAGTTCACGTGTGTTTGGGATGCATCTCATAGGTCTTGCAGTGAACGGAGGTTACATATGTATTGAGGGGTATCTTTTTGCACCACACAGATAAGGCATTTATGTCTGTGATGTCAAACTGAGGGACTTGTCTTTCTGGTACAGTACCGGTAATTCCGTGCATCAGATTAGCAGTGTACTAAATGAAAGCAACAGGTGCCAGCTTTATCTTTGTTGTATACAATTCTGCCGACATTTGTTCTGACTGTTCAAACAGAACTGGAAGTGCTGCCGCTGCTTAACAGAATCCCTCCTATAATTTGTTATTAATTAGCCATTCACCCAAGATCCCAGAGACTAGTCTGTGGGAGATGGGCCATGTCATTGAGCTGACGCATGAAATCTCTATGGAGCAAGGCAAGATCAACATTCCCTGCAACATAGGCAGCTCAGTGATCCAACATCCGTTGATGTTAAGTTTGCAACATACTGCTGATCTGCTTTCATTGCATAAGGAAAGGAGGACCTTTGAATGAAACCAGCCTTATCTGGGAAATGAAATGGTGTGATTTTTACATCATCTAATACTACTGTTCTTACTCTCGCTTGGAAAAATGCTAGGACAAAGTCTAATTTGGCTTTGTCACTTAGGGGGCCCTGTATATCCACATCTCAAGCCTTTGTCAGTTTTATTTGGTTTCCTTTAAAAAGTTCCTTGCAAAGATGCTACAAAGAGGGTGTTGAGGGAAATACTGCTTCTTCAGAGAGCTATCATTTCCAGGGTTTCCTATGTAAAAGGAGTGATTAATGTACCAATTTAATGTTTCAGTTTGAACAAATGGTTGAAAGAAATAGCAAGATGCTGACTAATAGATACAATTAGAAACCTTAATGCCTATTAGCCAGTCTGTAGCTAAAGTGAAAAACATAGTGAGTCTTTAAGACCTGGCATGAATATACTCATCTGCATTTCAGATTATGCAGGGAAGTGATTTCTTATTGATTTATTATACTTTAGCTGTAATTAATGATTTATTATTCTAAGCCTGTGCGTTCATTGTTCTAATATGTCCACACAGACTTAAGAAATAAAAAGACACAGAACTGTAGTTGCTGATTTTAAATTTTATAATCACAGCAATGACCTTAACTTTGCGTTTCTGAAATATAAAATAAACTCTCCAATCAAATAATTTTCCAACCTATGCCCTCTTCTTGTGTTGGATGGGGTGAATGAAATATTCAGAAATTGTGGAAACTTCTTCCATTGCAAAGTATTATTGGGTCATTCATTCTTCTGAAGCATAAAGCGTATATTTAGAAGTAATTATATTATATAATTCTGAATATGAGTATGAGCTGTGGTATTCCACGATGATTAGTACTACATCTGCTGGGATCCCATGAACTGGGATCATGTTTGGAAAAAGTTATAAAATATTCCAGATACACTGCCTTAGTGTTTTCATTGTATTTATTATTAGATTTATATCCTGGCTTTATTTTGTACAACTCAAGGTGATGTTCATACTGTTCCCACTTCCTATTTTGTCCATAATAGAAAGTCTATGAGGGAACTGCACTGAGCAGGTGAGACTGGCCAAAGTCACCCAGTTTTCATGCCTAAAGCAGGATGAGAATAATGATCTCCTAGATCCGTGATGGCGAACCTATGGCACGCGTGCCACAGGTGGCAAACAGAGCCATATCAGTGGGCACACGAGCTCAGCTCTGCTGCACATGCGCACGCCAGTCAGCTGATTTTTGAGCCTTCGGGGCCCATTGGAAGTCGGCAAACAGGCCGTTTCCGGCCTCCGGAAGGCCTCTGGGAGGGAGTGCGGAAGGCAGTTTTCGCCCTCCCCAGGCTCCTAGAAAGGCTCTGGAGCCTGGGGAAGGCGAAAAAATGGGCCTACCAGGCCCACTGTGCCATCACATGCCAAAAGCGGGGAAAAACAGGGAGGGGTCACGCACACATGCGTGGGGGCGGGGCGCATAGAATTATGGGTATGGGCATGCGTGCGGCCGACCCCCCCCATTCCCCTCACTTTTGGCACGCGATGGCAAAAAGGTTAGCCATCACTGTCCTAGATTCTAATCCAGTGCCATAACCACTACACCAAACTGGTTCTCAGTTATAGCTCACATGGGCTAAAAAGCTATAGGTGAAGTTTATTTATTTATTGATTGATTGATTGATTGATTGATTGATTGATTTAATTTATATGCCGCCCTTCTCCGGAGACTCAGAATGGCTTACAATGTGTTAAGCAATAGCCTTCATATGTATATACCTGCTTAGTAGGGCTTTTGCCCCCCCCCCCCAAGTGGTGTTCTTTTTTATACAAAGTCAGCTTATTGCCCCCACAATCCGGGTCCTCATTTTACCTACCTCAAAAGGATGGAAGGCTGAGTCAGCCTTGAGCCTGGTGAGATTTGAACTTGCAGTAGTTGCAGGCAACTGGTGTTACTTAACAGCACTTTAGTCTGCTGCACCACCAAGGCTCTTGTTAGAAGTGCTCTCCTAGCTGACCTTATAAGATTGAGTTCGCTTTCAACATGATGGAATCTAATGCTGAGGTTTAAGCTTTTAGTGATGGCATTGGCATCCTGATATAATATCGAATGAAGGAAATTGATGTATGCTAGGACTTGATGACATATAATCAATCCATCAAAAGAAATTGTAAAACCTGATGCTAGATGATAATTCCCAGTATGTCTCACCATTGGCCATGTGCTCTATGAGATCAGGGGTATCCGGAAGGCC